GGTGTGTGTGTGTGTGTGTGTGTGTGTGTGTGTGTGTATGTGTGTGTGTGTTGGGGGGGGGGGGGTTAGGGTTCAGTATTCACATTCAACCTGTCCACAAAACAGAACAGACAACTACACACGCGCATGCCATGCCCACGTGATTATCAGCTTTGTCTTTCCCGCTCTCCCACTGTCTTCCTTCTTCCCCCTTCTCCACACGAATGCGCCGATCCTCGCCTCTAACGAACGCACTTGACAAAGTCTGTGATGTAGCGATAGACAGAGTCGAATGCGAGGTAGAAACGCGACAGCAGGTGGTAGTGCGTCTCCTTGAAGTCCTCGTCCAGATCTTGCATCTCCGGCGATGAGTCGATGCGGTGGTCGAACAACTGCAACACACATACACACAGATGCGCAAATGAGCGCGCAATTGCAATCACGCATCGGGATAGACACACACACACACACACACACACACACACACACACACACACACACACCACACACACACACACACACACACGCACGCACACACACACGCACACATGCACACATGCGTACGCTTCAAGTGGTGCACATGCAACGAGCACAGACAGGCTCACCTCGATGCTGTTGAAGTAGGAAAAGTCCAGCACAATGTGTTGATACTTGACCTAAAACCAAAGTGGATAGTGGGCACGCTTGTTGGTGAGAAGTGAAATGGCTGAAATGGCTGCGACACCCATGCACACAAGTCAACATATGCAAGCACACACACACACCATACACAAGAACACAAACAAACTGGAACACACAGACACACACCTGGTCGTCGCGATCCCTGAGGTAGAACACATCGGGGATGGCTTCTGCAAGACGCAGCAGCTCCGCGATGATGGCATTGCCACGGCTTGTCTGAACCGACAACACGAGGATGTGATGGGCCATGCATGACACACGAACAAAACACAAACACCAAACCACAGACATGAGCGACATGTCAACAACAGCAGTGGCTGAAGCGAAAGCACTCATGCGGCCAAGATGACACACACACACACACACACACATGTACAGACAGGCACACACACACACACACACGCACACACTTGCACAGACATGTATGCACGATCGTGCACTCCCCAACCCCCCCCCCCCTCAACACACACCCACACACACACACTCGCGCACATGTACGCACCAGCCGCAGCAGCGTCTGCCCGCACTGGTTGCGTTCATGGAGGAGGTCCATCTCTGGCGGTGTTTGTGTGGCGAAAATAGATTGAAAACTTTCACCATTTCTCCGCAAATCGCACAGCCAAACCAACAGCTGGCGGTGACGCAAAGTCGTCACAGCACCCCCACCACAGCACCACCTCAACTCCTCCTTGTCCTCCTTTGTTTTGCGAGAGGACACAGTGAAGGAGAGAAGAATGGGGCGGCCGCTGCTGTGGTCGGCGATCTACCTCTTCGCTTTCGCCTTTGCCACCGTCATTGCCTGCAGCGAAACAGCACAAGCGGCAGCCGATGAGAAGGTGTGTGTGTGTGTGTGTGTGTGTGTGTGTGTGTGTGTGTGTGTGTGTGTGTGTGTGTGTGTGTGTGTGTGTGTGTGTGTGCGTGTGTGTGTGCGTGTGTGTGTGTGTGTGTGTGTGTGTGTGTGTGTGTGTGTGTGTGTGTGTGTGTGTGTGTGTGTGTGTGTGTGGAAATGGACTGGTTGTTTAAACCTACGTGCGACTTTGTGCATTTTGTCTGCCTGCGCGCTTTTCCCAATGCGCTGGACACGAGTGCTCACACGTGCTTGTATCCACTCCCATCCCTCCACTCACCCCACATCCACACCCGTCCCTCCACTCACCCCACAACTACAACAGCTGCCTCTGTGTGGGCACGTGGACACGACGCTGGCGCAGCTCGAAACGACCTTGACGCGCCATGGCGTGCCATTCACCACGTCCACGCAGCAGCAGCAGCAGCAGCCACGGACAGCAGACAGCAATGCCACGGCGCGCTCCGTGCACGCAAATCGTCCAGCAGTCTTAATTGACCTGTCATCCATCCAGGACATGATGCGCGCGTTTGGGTGTCCAGCAACCGCAACACGCAACGCCGTGACGCACACCACCGTGACGCACACCACCAAGGAGCACACCACCAAGGAGCAGACAACCCGTAATCCAACACCGTCGCCCAACGCCACAGCCGAATCTGAGACCATAATCAATCCACAGCTGGCACATGCACAGGAACACCAGCAACGCCGCGAGCTCTTGCGGCTGCAGACTCGTAGTCGTGAGCGACGTGCGAGCACACCGTCACAATCAGGAGCGTGCACACTGGCCAGCATCCTCAGCGACACGTGTGCCGCTGGTACCGATAACATCACCCTGACCATCACGTTTGATGGCAGCGAGCAGATCAACGGCACCATCGACAACTTCCCGCTGCTCAGGATCTCCGCCAACATCGCCACGCTCATCCTCAGGGGCACGGTGCACGAGCCGCAGCTGCAGTGGGTGCTGGACAACGGCAACTGGGACGCATGTTTCTTCTTCATCTTGGAGGGCCTGCAGTTTGACACCTTCCGCCTGAGTACGCTGCATCGGTTCCTGAGCCTGCGGGGTGTCCGCCTCCAACGCACCGCCATGCTCCAGGCCGTGGACACGCACAACTTCCCGCAGGCGGGGCAGATCCGCCGGCTTGACATCCATAACACCTCCCTGGCCACCATCCCATCCCTCGCCAACTTCACGTCCCTGCAGGTCCTGGACATGTACGACAACCGCATTCGACACGTGAGCAAGGATGCCTTTGCCGGCCTGACGGCCCTCAGCAACCTGTTTATGGACGGTAACCTCATATCCCGCATCGATCGCGGTGCATTTGCGGAAGCAACAGCGCTGACGGAGCTGGTGCTGAGTGACAACGACATCACGGCCGTCCCCGAAGGCCTGCTGCATCCCCTCATGCGGCTCACCGTGCTCAAGCTCCAGCACAATCCAATGCGCGAGCTGGACCCGGACGTGTTTGGCAGCCTCACATCCATCCGTCTCCTTGTCCTCAGCAGCACCCTCATCACCAGCCTGCCCACCGGCATCTTCGCTGCCGCCACCCGCCTCACCGACCTCGACCTTGCACACAACCTGCTCACGTCCCTGCCCGAGACCATCTTCTCTGGCCTGTCGCTGCTGGACGAGGTGCAGCTGTTCAGCAATCGCCTGACATCCCTGCCACCACAGCTGTTCAGGGAGCAGACGGCCCTCACACGCCTCTCGCTCGACCACAACCGAATCAAGTACCTGCCCCCCTCGCTCTTCGACACGTGCAGCGAGCTCCGCTTCGTTATCTGCAGCAACAACGGGCTGCAGACCATCCCGCCCCGCCTGTTCCCCAACAGCCCGCACATGGTGCGCATTAACTTCGCCAACAACGCGCTGCGCGCTGTGGACGGCCTCTTTGACGGCTCGGCGCTGTCCGCGCTGGTTGCGCTCGACCTGGAGGGAAACCGGTTGACACAGCTGCACATTCCCACCCCGCTCCCGTCACTGCGCAGCCTCATCCTCAGCCGCAACCCGGTACAGCACGTCCCAAACACGAAGATGGTGCCGGAGCTTGGGGAGCTGCGCATGCAGGGCCACCACATCAAGCGCCTGGACCTCACCCCGCTGCTGAGCCTGCAGCGCATTGGCACGCTGGATGTGAGCGCCGCTGGTCACGTCCACAGCACTGCCATGCTGGACGCTGCTGCCGTGAGTGTGTCCCCGGCCCTCCACGCCCTGAGCGCCACCAACGTGGACCTGAGCAGCGTGCTCGGTGTGCTGCAACAGCTGCCGTCGCTTCAGCTGCACGAGCTCGGCGTTGGCTGGCCCGGCGCCGACGAGACCACGCTGCCAGTCTCGCTGCTGTGCCACGTGCTGGCAGACGACGTGGATGTGCTGCGGCTCCCGCGTGTCAACCACGCATCCATTGAGCTGTGCTCCGACAAGCGGTTTGACACCGTTCAGCTGCAGGGCAACGGGCACCTGCGCTCCGTCAACATCCCCACGACACTCAAGGAGCTCAATGTGTCCGATTGCACGCAGCTCACGTCCATCACGGTGCCGTTTGTCGACATCCTGGACATCAGCAACACGCGCGTGCAACTGAATGCGGCGCTGTGCACGCGCTGGGGACGGCGCATCCTGTTTGCCCGCAACCTGGACCCGGTGTTTGTTGACTTGCAGTACGCCCTGTCTGCTATGGGCACGTGCCTGGACAACGTCGACATCCTCGACCTCTCCGGCAATGCGTGGCTCGACAGCCCACAGGAGGTGAACCGGGTGGTGAGCAACGACATTGCGCTGTCGGACCTGCTGTTCATCACGGCCAACTTCTTCACCATCCGCTCGCGGCCGACCCCGCCCATCCTGCAGCTGCAGTCGTCGCCCGTCGACTGCGCCATTGCTGTCTCCAACCAAGAGCTGCGGCGCCGTACAGACACCGCCATTGTGTCAAACGAGATTGTCTACTCCTTCCACTGCACGTGTGCGCGCGGATACAAGATGACATCGGGTGGGCGGTGCGTGGTGGACAACCCAGATGTTGCGGGCATCGCTGCTGGTTCTGTCATTGGCGGCCTTGCCCTTGGCTTGCTCATGGCGTGGTTGTCACGCCGCTACCGTGGCCTGACCAAGCGCATCGACCTGCAGGAGCAGCTGCTAGTGGAACGAGATGAAGAGGTGATGGCGCTGAAGAAGGCGTGGGAGATTGAGTACGATGAGCTGAGACTGGTTGAGCGTGTGGCTGCGGGTGCGTTTGGCGTGGTGTTCAAGGCGGAGTGGGACACAGTCACAGTGGCGGTGAAGGTGTTGCAGCAAGCCGTCATGGCATTTGACGAGAGCACGGTGCTTGAGTTTGAGAAGGAGGTGGAGTTTCTGCAGCGGACACGGCACCCGCACGTGGTGCGGTTCTTTGGCGCGGGCACAGATCCCAACGGCAGCCCGTTCCTGGTGCTGGAGTTTGTTGCTCTGGGGTCACTCAAGGACCTGTTGGGGAAGGACTTGGAGGGGGTGCTGAGGGAGATGGAACAACATGCTGGTGATGACAATCATGATGTGGTTCTCAGAGCCAGCAGGGATGGTGCTGATTGGGTGTGGGCGCTGAAGACACGTTTGCTCCGCGACATTGCCAGTGGCATGGCCTTTATCCACAGCCTGGATCAAGTACACAGGTGCGTGTAAGGGGAGAGTGGTGTGTGTGTGTGTGTGTGTGTGTGTGTGTGTGTGTGTGTGTGTGTGTGTGTGTGTGTGTGTGTGTGTGTGTGTGTGTTTGTGCGTTGGCGTATGTGGGTGGTTGGGTGTGTGCGCGTGTGTGTGTGAGTGAGTGAGTGTACATGCATGTGCCTGTGTGTTTGGGTGCAGGCACGTGCCTCTTGCAGATCGCCCATCCTAGCCTCACCCCTCTCATCAACACCACATCCGCAGAGACCTGAAGAGTGGCAATGTGCTGGTAAACTCAAAGCTGCGCGCCAAGATTACCGACTTTGGGTCCATTCGCCAATGCCTGACGCGTGGCCGCGGTGGAAGTGTGCATGCAGGCAACGAAGCACAGCGAGCTGGTCTCCTTTCCAGCTCAGACGAAGCTGGTGATCTGCAGTACTCGCGCCAGGCCGGGCTGACCACGCAGATGAACCTGACGATGACGGCTGGCGTGGGCACGCCGCTGTACATGGCACCCGAGGCGATTGTTGGTGACAAGTACAACGCCAAAGCAGACGTGTTCAGCTTTGGCGTGCTGATGTGGGAGGTGGCGACCCAACGTGTGCCTGACTTGATTGAGCAGGAGAAAGGCAGTGACTTCAGAGGACCCCTGCTCCCCGCACTCGCAGAGCTGCTGCTTGAAGGCAAACGCCTTCGGTTCGAAGATCACGGTGCGTGTGTGTGTGTGTGTGTGTGTGTCTGTGTGTGTGTCTGTGTTTGTGTGTGTGTGTGTCTGTGTCTGTGTGTCTGTGTGTGAGTGTCTGTGTGTCTGTGTGTCTGTGAGTGTGCGCGTGTGTGTGTGTGTGTGTGTGTGTGTGTGTGTGTGTGTGCGTGTGTGTGTGCATCCTTGCCATCGTGCGCTTGCACATTCACTGACCAACTTTCTGCACATGTGCATACAATCCTTGAGCAGATGGTGTGCCGGAGTGGTTCCAGACGCTCACCAGCAAGTGTGTCCACGAAGATCCACAGCGACGGCCGACATTTGCCGAGCTGGAGGCACATCACCTGAATGCCTGACATTGTGTTTGTATCTGTGTGTGTGTGTGTGTGTGTGTGTGTGTGTGTGTGTGTGTCTGTCTATCTGTCTATCTGTCTATCTGTCTGCCTGTGTCTGTGCCTGCATGTTACTCTGCCTGCCTGTGTTATGTTACTAGCTCGTGGTCTGTCTATCTGTCTATCTGTCTATCTGTCTGTCTGTGTCTGTACGTCTATCTGTCTGCCTGTGTCTGTGCCTGCATGTTACTCTGCCTGCCTGTGTTATGTTACTAGCTCGTGCGTGTGTGTATGTTTCGCCTGTGCGATTAGCTGACTGATGCCTTGCTTGTGATCGACCCTGCCTGTCCCAATAGGAGCATCATTGTACCGTTACAAATGAACACTTTTGTTTATTGAAGCAGTGGAGAAGGGTGAGGGAACGGCAAGTGACGCGAAGGGGCAGCAATGTAACGATGTCAAAGATAGGGAACTCGATCCGGACGTTGTCCTCCAGGAACAGAGCAAACAAACGAACCGACAGACGAACAATTCAAGCACACATGCGCACACACACCAACACACAAACACACACACACACACAAACACACACACACACACACAAACACAAAAACACACACACACACAAACACACAAACACAAAACACACACAAACCAATCAATCCAACCCCAACTCCCGTCTTTTCCTCTCAGCAAATGAGGCAAGTGTCGACACAGTTGCTGAGAGTGAGGGTGTCAGGGTTGCCACGCACGCAGACGCAGTCGCCGGTGGCAAGAAGGCCGTGGCAGTCGAGGGATGTGAGTGCGTTGTTCTGCACATCAAGGTTGCCCGTGATGTTGGCGATGCCGCTGAGGTCAATGCTCTCCAGGTTGTTGTTGTCGACGTTGAGGGTGCCCTCGATGAAGGTGAGCTGGCCAAAGTTGATGCTAGTCAGGGCGTTGTTGCTCAGGTGCAGGTCTTTGTCAAACGTGGCACCCGGCACGCCAACGCCGGCGATGCTGCCAAAGTTGATGCTGGTGAGCGCAGAGTCGGTAATGCTGAAGGTGTCGATGCGGCCGGCGACGCCGCGGAAGTTGACGCCCACGAGAGCGGTGTCGTCGATGGCGAGCGAGCGAATGGCAGTCACCGAGCCAAAGTCGACCGTGGTCAGGTGCGGGTTGTTGGACAAGTCAATCTCACCGCCAGTCGTGTCGTCACCGCTGGTTTCACCGATGCGCGCCACGTTCTTGAAGTTGATCTCGGTGACGGCCGTGTCGCGAATGGTCACGTCGCCGCCAATGGCGGTGACTGCGCCAAAGTCGACAGCGGTGACCTTGCCCGCACCGCGGAGGTTGAGGTCGCCTGTCACCGTGCGCAGGTTTGCAAGATTGACGCTGGTCAGGCCCGTGGCGTCACGGAGGTCCAGATCGCCCTCGAACGACGTCAGCGCACCAAAGTCGATGGCCGTGAGCGTGCTGACCCGCGACAGGTCCAGCACTCCGCCCACGCGCTCCACGTTGGCAAAGTCGAGGCTGGAGAGCGCCGTGCTGCGCAGGGACACGGCACCGCCAATGTGTGTGGCGGACGCGATGTTGAGGGACACAAGGCTGTCGATGCTGCTGGCGCTGAGGGTACCGCCGATTCGCGTCACGCTGGGGAGATCGAGATTAGTCAGGGCAGTGCTGCGCACGTCCACGTCGCCGTGCACGGCAGCGAGAGCGGGGAAGGCGATGGAGGTGAGTGAGGGCGTGGAGGCAAGCCGCACGTCACCGCCAACACTGACGAGCTTGGGGAAAGCAACGCCGGTTAGGCCCGTGTTGGAGAGGACGAGGTTTCCGCCCACCACCTCGAGGGCGCTGGCGTCGATGGTGGTGAGGCCAGTCACGCCAAACGCCTGCAGATTCCCCGTGATGTTGGTGAGGCTGGCAATGTTGACGGAGGTGACCTGGGTGCCGGTGAGCTGCAGGTTGCTGATGGCGGTGAGGGAGCGCAGGTCGAGCGCGGTGAGGGAGCCCAGGCCCGATGGCTCAAACCGCCCGCCGAGGTGGGCCAGGCTGGACAGCTCCATGGAGGTGAGCGCCGTGCTCAAGAGCACGATGTTGCCGCCTACAAAGGTGAGGGACCCGGCGTTAACGGCGGCGAGGACGGGCTGCTGGAAGGGCATGAACGTGCCGGCCTCAAGATGGCGGCCGATGCGGGTGAGGCTGGGCAGGTCCAGGGTGGTGATGAATGTGTCGCGGAGGTTCAGGTCCTGCCCAACCTCCTGCAATGCGGGGAGGTCGATGGCGGTGACGGACGTGGCCTGCAGAGAGATGATGCCACTGACGGTTGCGAGGCTGGGCAGGGCGAGAGCGGTGAGCTGGGTGCGGGACAGGTCGAGGTGGCCGTCGATGGACTTGAGGGCGTTGAAGTTGATGGACTCGAGCGTGGCCATGCCGCGGAAGTCGCCTGGGATGGCCTGCACGCTGCCAAAGTCCATGGTGGTGAAGAGGGAGTGGGCGAGATTGAGCGTGCCCTGGATGGCGGTGAGGGCGCCAAAGTTGACGGCTGCGGATGCCTGGATGAAGCTGAGGTCGATAGCGTCGCCGACGCTCTCGAGGTTGCCAAAGTCAATGGTGGTGGGCACGGTGAAGCTGAGGGTGAGCGCGTGGCCGATGCTGGTGAGGGCCGGTGCTTCGATGGAGGTGAGGGTGGTGATGCGGCTGATATCGAGGGCGCCGCCGACAGACTGGAGCTGACCAAGGCTGACTTGCGTAAGCTCGTTGCCTCTGAGGGCGAGGTGGCCTCCGATGGCCGTGAGGCTGCCAAAGTCGATAGTGCTGATTTCGTTGTTTGCGAGGTTGACTGCGCCACCAATCACCAGGACGCCCTCGAACACGACCGACTGCAGCCTACCGCGGACAATGCCGTTGTTGTACGAGTTGATGTTGCCGCGAATGGACTGCACAGCCCCGAAGCGCAGCCGGGTTGTGTCCTGTGCCATGGTGATGGAGCCAATCACGCGCTCAAGCGCATAAAACTCCTCGCAGCAGCACTCGGTGACGTCGATGACCGCGGACACGCCGGAGTTCCTCACGGCTGCGCGGGACTCTGAATCGTTGCAGTTGAGCGACGGGTATTGTTCTTGCGGAACTGTATTTGGGAACAGCGTTACAGGGTTCGGGTCATCGTCATCGTCGGCGTTGTTGTTATGGTTGTTGTTGTTGTTGTTGTTGTTGTTGTTTCCACCTTGGCTGTTTTTGGAGCCTCCAGCACCGTTGTTACGGCCACCGCCACCGACAGAGGTCACTGCCACGGGCACGGCAATCAAGATGACAACGACGGCCACGGCAGCTGCGATGAGCAGTGCTTTCTGATGCTTGGTCCAGAACGAAGCGCCAGCACCATAGGTATGGCTATGGAACGACGAGGACACCTTCGTGCTGGTTGTTGGCGGGTGCTCGCCATCGAACGCCGGGTTGCTGAACAGCGCGTACGTGGCCTCATCAACGTTTCCTCCCTCGTCCACCACGGACACACCTCCACCATGGTCGAGGTGAAGCAGTGACCGCTCACTGTCGTCCTCCATCCTGACGCGATTGTTGGAGGGAAGGGAAGAAGGGAAGCGGCTGGCTCGGCGTTGGGCTTAGGGGTGAGTGCGTGGGTGAGTGCGTGGGTGAGTGCGTGGGTGAGTGCGTGGGTGAGTGCGTGGGTGAGTGCGTGAGTGCGTTGGCGGCTAGGGAGAAGCCTGGAAAAGCAGGGAGGGTGGGGGCTGGCGTCCCTGCGTGCGTGGGTGCGTGAGGCAGTGTCTGACAGTGGCGGCAAGCTGGAAGGAGAGTGCTGAGCACGCAAGTCCTCAACAGGACAGCTGGGACGATGCGCGACTTTTGTTTGCGAGGCGTGTGTGGGGCCTGCAGAGGATTGAGGAAGCCTTGCCGCAATTTTCAGTTTGTTTGGTTTTGAGGGGCCAGGGAACAAAGGTGCTTTGTTATACAATTCGATGCATGAAATACGGGAGCTGTTGCTCTGCATTGTGTGGGAAACGTGCATTACTTTACCATCGTATGATGATGAGTCAACCGCACGTCTGCGAGAAGTGTTGCCGCGGTAAGCCAGCAAAGCAAGCAAGATGAACAGAGAAACTGTCGAGTGAGCAGCAACATGATGTTGAGCGAGATGAATGCGATGTGTGATGGGAGGCAAGGTGATGGGAGGAGAGGCGTGTGCGTATGAGAGGAGGGCGGGAAGAGCACCAATGCACTCGAAGGAGAGTCCATTTCCTTACACGACCTTTGCCTGCCCCTTAACACAGATGGCACGTTCCGGCGGTCTGCACGGGCACAGCGTCAGTTCCTGTCAAGAACAGCGACAGACACGCTCAAGGTTATCACGGATGTGCTTGATTGCTTGGTTGGACCTGTGCGCCGGCCACAGGCTGTTGCTATTGTTGTTTGGTTAGTGCTGCTGTTGCTGAAACTCCATCGTGAATGCTGCTCCTGTTGACGCAAGCCCACAGCTGATCCCTGTTGTGTGTGCATTTGCGTTTCTGTGTGTCTGCAGAAATATGCGCTGCATCGGCATGTTGTGAAGCGGGCGTCTGCAGCCTTGCAGCGGCAGTCGAGCGAGATTACCCGCAGCATGGCTGCCATGACCACATCCGTTGTCCTCAGCCCAAGTGCGTTTGTGTGTGTGTGTGTGTGTGTGTGCGTGTGTGTGTGTGTTCGTTTGTGTGTGCGTGTGTGTGTGCGTGCGTGCGTGTGTGTGTGTGTGTGTGTGTGTGTGTGTGTGTGTGTGTGTGCGTGTGTGTGCGTGTGTGTGTTCGTTTGTAGCTTTGGGGTGGCGTGAGCTGTGGTTTTGGTGTTGCCGCTGTGCGCCGTCGGTGTCCTCGCTCTGAGGTTTCATCATCTCCTCTCGACACACTGGCCAGCAAAGGCCCTTTTTGTTCTGCGCCTCACCTTCTTGGCTTTCAATGATGGCTGCAGCTGTGTCGACACAGGTAAAGGGCGACCCCCACGAGATGATGCACGTTCCCAAGACGGGAGAAGAGAGCGCAGCCAACTGGATCAACCTCTCATCAGAAACGTATCGTGTGTGTGTGTGCGTGTGTGTGTGTGTGTGTGTGTGTGTGTGTGTGTGTGTGTGTGTGTGTGTGTGTGTGTGTGTGTGTGTGTGTGTGTGTGTGCGTGTGCCAACGTGCGCCTGCATGTGTGTCGTGCAAATACCGATGTTCAGTTGACCATCGCTGTCACCGTGCTGCGCGCTGCAGGTTTGCTGAGAAGCTACAACGGCTGGACAACATCAAGGCCGAGATATCTCACATCAAACAGCGCATGAACGCGTGCGTCGCTTTGAACACCGCTGTACCCTGTCTGCTGGAGACTCACACACGTCAGGCACACGTCGAGCACGAATTCACTCGTTTCCACACGAGCACACACACACACACATACACACACAGACCTTGACTACGCGCTTACTCATTCACACACACACGCACACATCATGCACTGCAGGAAGGAGCACGAGATTGGGCTGCGGCGGGCGCTGCTGCGGAAGATTGAGGCCAGCGCACGCATGACACACGTGCGCGAATACCGAAACGCCTGCATCACTGCCGTGCACGGAGGTGTGTGTGTGTATGTTTGCATCGACTTGCTACACGTGTGTGCATGTGCTTGCATTGCTGTTTGGGGTGCACTCGACCTCACGCCGTTCGTGACTGCAGACGAGCAAGCGGCGGAGATGCAGCGCAAACGCATCAGCGACGCAACAGATCGCATTGCTCGCCTCAAACGTCTCTGCCAAACATACAAACGTGGGTGTGACGGGCTGTCAGGTCGTGTCGCGTGCTACCACTTGCTTGTGCGCGCTCTTTGTTGGTTTTTGGTGTCATACCAACATGCACACACACACATGTACATGTACGCGCCGCTGTGCCCTGCAGGACTGCTGCCTGCGCTCGATTCGCTGCTGGTGGTTGACAGCAACGATGAACAGGAGCAGGGGGAGACACTGCGTGAATTCTCAAGCAGGTGACGTGTCGTGATGGTGCTGTTCGGTGCTGTTGTGCTTGGTGTTCGATGCCCTTGCTTGTGCCTGCGCTGACTGTCCGTGCTGCCCGTGCCCACTGCGCCGCCGCCGCCGCCTCCACGTCTTAGGATGACGGAGGAGTTTGAGCAGGCGAAAGCATCCGATGGGCGCCCGCACGAGCACGCCATCATGCATCTCATCGACCAGTCGTTCCAGGTTTGTAGGTGTGTGTGTATGTGTGTGTGTATGTGTGTGTATGTGTGTGTATGTGTGTGTGTCGGGCAATACCTGTTTCGTTATGTATTCGGCATCATACACTC